TTCAAGGATGCCATCCATCCATCTTGCCCTTGGTCGGCCCCTCTTCCTTTTTCCTTCCATTTCCCCAGCATAATTGTCTTCTCTAAGCTTTCCTTTCTTCTCATGATGTGGCCAAAGTACTTCATTTCTCTAGTATCCTTCCCTCCAATGAGCAGTCGGGCTTTATTTCCTGGAGAATGGACTGGTTGGATCTTCTCGCAGTCCAAGGCACTCTCAGAACTTTCCTCCAACACCACAGCTCAAAAGCATCGATTTCCTTCGCTCAGCCTTCCCTAAGGTCCAGCTCTCACATCCGTAGGTTACTACAGGGAATACCATGGCTTTGACTAGGCAGATCTTGTTGCCAGTCTGATGTCTCTACTCTTTACTATTTTATCGAGACTGGACATTGCTCTCCTCCCAAGAAGTAAGCGTCTTCTGATTTCCTGGCCACAGTCTGCATCTGCAGTAATCTTTGCACCTAGAAATACAAAGTCTGTCACGGCCTCCACATTTTCTCCCTCTATTTCCCAGTTGTCAATCATTCTTGTTGCCATAATCTTGGTTTTTTTGATGTTTAGCTGCAACCCGGCTTTTGCGCTTTCTTCTTTCACCTTGATTAGAAGGCTCCTCAGCTCCACCTCGCTTTCGGCCATCAGAGTGGTGTCATCTGCATATCTGAGGTTGTTAATGTTTCTTCCAGCAATTTTCACCCCAGCTTTGCATTCATCAAGCCCCGCACATCGCATGATGTGTTCTGCATACAAGTTAAAAAGGTTGGGTGAGAGTATGCAGCCTTGCCATACGCCTTTCCCAATCTTGAACCAGTCTGTTGTTCCGTGGTCAGTTCTTACTGTTGCTACTTGGTCCTTGTACAGATTCCTCAGGAGAGAGACAAGGTGGCTTGGGATGCCCATCCCACTAAGAACTTGCCACAATTTATTATGATCCACACAGTCAAAGGCTTTAGAATAGTCAATGAAGCAGAAGTAGATGTTTTTCTGAAACTCCCTGCCTTTCTCCATTATTCAGCGGATATTGGCAATCTGGTCTCTCGTTCCTCTGCCTTTTCTAAACCCAGCTTGAACATCTGGCAACTCTCGCTCCATGTATTGCTGGAGTCTTCCTTGCAGGATCTTGAGCATTACCTTACTGGAATGAGAAATAAGGGCCACTGTACGGAAGTTTGAGCAGTCTTTCGCATTTCCCTTTTTTGGTATGGGGATATAAGTTGATTTTTTCCAGTCTGATGGCCATTCTTGTGTTTTCCATATTTGCTGGCATATGGCATGCATCACCTTGACAGCATCATCTTTTAAGATTTTAAACAGTTCAGCTGGGATCCCGTCATCTCCTGCTGCCTTGTTGTTAGCAATGCTTCTTAAGGCCCATTCAACCTCACTCCTCAGGATGTCTGGTTCTAATTCATTCACCACACCGTCAAAACTATCCTCGATATTATTATCCTTCCTATACAGATCTTCTGTATAGTCTCGCCACCTTCTTTTGATCTCTTCAGCTTCTGTTAGGTCCCTGCCATCTTTGTTTCTTATCATACCAATTTTTGCCTGAAATTTACCTCCAATGTTTCTAATTTTCTGGAAGAGGTCTCTTGTCCTTCCTATTCTGTTGTTTCTTCCACTTCCATGCATTGCTTATTTAAAAATAGTTCCTTATCTCTTCTGGCTAACCTCTGGAATTGCGCATTTAACTGGGCATATCTCCCCTTATCCCTGTTTCCTTTTGCTTTCCTCCTTTCTTGGGCTACTTCCAGTGTCTCAGCAGACAACCATTTTGCCTTCTTGGTTTTCTTTTTCTTTGGGACGTACTTTGTTGCCGCCTCCTGAACAATGTCTCGGACTTCTGTCCATAGTTCTTCTGGGACTCTGTTTACTAAATCTAGCCTTCAAATCTGTTCTTCACTTCCACTGTATATTCGCTAGGAATGTTAGTGAGATCATATCTAACTGGTCTGTGTATTTTCCCTGATCTCTTTAGTTTTATTCTAAATTGGCAATAAGAAGTTCGTGATCTGAGCTACAGTCAGCCCCAGGTCTTGTTTTCACCGACTGGATGGATGTCCGCCACCTTTGGCTGCAAAGGATGTAGTCAATCTGATTTCGGTGCTGACCATCTGGTGAAGTCCATGTGTAAAGCCGTCTTTTAGGTTGTTGGAAGAGAGTGTTTGTTATACACAGCGAGTTTTCCTGGCAAAATTCTATCAGTCTGTGTCCCGCTTCATTTTGTTCTCCCAGACCATGCTTGCCTGTGATCCCAGTTGTCATTTGACTTCCCACCTTGGCATTCCAGTCTCCTGTAATGAAAATAATGTCTCTTTTTGGTGTATTATCCAGTAGGTCCTGCAGATCCTCATAGAACTGATCTACTTCTGCTTCTTCAGCAGCTGTGGTTGGGGCGTATATTTGGATCACTGTAATGTTGAAAGGCTTTCCTTGCACTCGAATTGAGATCATTCTCCTCACTTTTTGGGTTGTATAAGCATGCTTTAGGAATTTCTATTAATTATGAGGTACTCCATTTTTCTATGTTCTCTTGTGAGTAGTAGATGGTGGTCTCTGATGTGAAGTGGCCATTCAGCATTCAGTTGCTGACCCCAGAGTTATCTTTAGTCTGACATCTCCCAATAAAAATCCAATTGCCCTGGTATAGACAATTCAGGTTGGTGTGTTGATCTTTATCGTCTTATGATTCATCGATCCTCATTTTTTTTTTCAATAACTCTTCACTGTGTAAAATGTCTCCTGGGCGCGCTTCTTCTTGGTCACGCTAGCATTGTTATCCAGACAGATGGATTATTCTATATACCGTCCATACGCTGCCCCGCCAATCAACATACAAACCTACTTGACTAAGCGCCCGAAGTCGACCGGCCCTTACATCGCCACTGGACACACTGACGCACACCAGAGAGATGAGAACACGACGGGGCTAGTTGAGTACTGCTCGTAGCATGGCCATCTTCCGACCTGGGAGTCCCATCTTCCAATGGCATACCGACATATCTCTGGTTGTACTGGTCCATTTAGTTTTCTTGGCAAGGATACTGGAGTGGTTTGCCATTGCCTTCTCCAGGGATCACGCTTGGTCTGACCTCTCTGCCACAACCGTCCCGTCTTGGGTGGTCCTTCATGACGCTTGGTCTGACCTCTCTGCCACGACCGTCCCGTCTCGGGTGACCCTTCACGGTTTCGCTCATGACATCATTGAGGTGCTCAAGCTCCAGCGCCACAACAAGGCAGTGATCCTTTGCTGGAGCAGAAAGAGGATAGAGACACAAAACCAGAACAAAACCCCATTCTAGCAACATCAAACTAAGGATAATTCTAAGAAGGAAAGAACAATGAAAAAGGAGGAGATGAAGATAGAAGACAATACCAAAAGCAGAAAATGATGGAGAATAAGATATGGAAGTCAACCACCCCATCCCCCTCCCACCCATACTTTCCTCCCCAAAATCCTCAATCTATTTCCTACATTATCACAAATTCCTCGGAGAAGAAGCCCGACTCATCACTTCCTTCCCCCCTCTCCCTTTTTATCCTCTCTTTTCCCAGCTCTACCCACCAATCCAAAATTCTATGTGTAAATACGATATAATCTTAAATAAAAATTTATTAAAAAAGAAGAAGAAGGATAAGGACCAGACAGAAGGTGTTCAGGGAAAGGTGACCAAAATGGTCCAAATTCTAAAAAACTATAAATTCTTGTAACAGCATTTCCCAACCTGGGGGTTAGAACCCCTGGGGGAATCATGAGGGGGTATCAGAGGGGTCACCAAAGACCATCAGAAAACACAGCATTTTCTGTTGGTCATGCGGGTTCTGTGTGGAAAGTTTGGCTCAATTCTCTTATTGGTGGGGTTCAGAATGCTCTATGATTGTAGGTGAACTATAAATCTCTGCAACTACAAAACCCAAATGTGAAGGTCAATTTCCCCCAAACTCCACCAGTGTTCGCCTTTGGGCATGCTGAGTATTAGTGTCAAATTTGGTCCATATGCATAATTGTTTGAGTCCACACCTCTGGGTGTAGGTGCACTACAACTCCAAAACTCAAGATCAATGCCCACCAACCCCTTCCAGTATTTTCTGTTGGTCATGGAAGTTCTGTGTGCAAAGTTTGGTTCAATTCCATCATTGGTAGAGTTCAGAAAGCTCTTTGATTGTAGGTGAACTATAAATCCCAGCAACTACAACATCCAAATGACAAAACCAACCCCACCCCCCCACCCCCAACCCTACCAGTATTCAAATTTGGGCATATTGGGTATTTGTGCCAAATTTGGTCCAGTGAATGAAAATACGTCCTGCATATCTGATATTTACATTATGATTCATAACAGGAGCAAAATTACATTTCTGAGTGAGGAGTTCTTAATCAGAGTGTTGGTTTTCCTGGTTATTTTGGAAGTTGGGTCTTGTTTAAGCTTTCTGTATATAGTAGGATCCAGGAGTTTTCTGATCTTCTCCTTGTATTGTTCTGTATCCATGATTACTGTGGCATTCCCCTTGGCTGTTGGGAGAATGATGATGTCAGGATCTGAGTTGAGGTCTCTGATGGCTTGTCTTTCCTGCCTTGTACTTTTCCCAACAAAAGGAGAGGAAGAGGGGTATTCTTTCATATTGCAGAGGATGCAACTTACAAGGCAGTCTTGGGGCAGGGAATTGGCCCCTGAGCAGTTCCTCCTAGTTTCTACTGTTCTGTAGACTGGGACCCAATGGAGCCATGGGTTCAAATGACAGGGAAGGAGATTCCACTTAAACTTTAGGAAGAACTTCCTGACTGTAAAAGCTGTTCAGCAGTGAAACTCTCTGCCTTGGAGTTTGGTATTAAGCTCCTTTCTATGAGCCTTTTAAACATAGGCTGAATGGCCATCTGTTGATGGTGCTTTGATTGTGCTTTTCCTGCATGGTAGAAGAGGGTTGGACTGGATGGCCCCTGGGGTCTTTTTGAACTCTAAGATTCTATTATTCTAATCGTTCCCCATTGTATTTTTCCAGATGGAGGCCCCAAGAAGCTGCGCAGCAACATCCGCCGCAGCACGGAGACCGGCATCGCTGTGGAGATGAGGAACCGTATCACTCGGCAAGGCAGCCGGGAGTCCACCGACGGCAGCACCAACAGCAACAGCTCCGAGGGAACGTAAGGATCACAGAGGTGGAAGAGATCCCAAAGGGCATTTAGTCCAGCCCCGTTCTGCCTTGTAGGAAGACATAATAGGCACTACTGATGCTTAACTCAATCATACTCTATGCTGATGACCACTTTAGAAGTATGAGATTACAATTTACTTTGGGTTCAGTGGACTATGTTCTACTCTTAGTGCCAGGACAAGTAAAACTATTGAATTGCTATGATTTACTTATGTTTTGACTCATAACTAGAAGCCCCCAGTGGCGCAATGGGTTAAAACCTTGTGCTGGCAGGACTGAAGACTGACAGGTTGGAGGTTCGAATCCAGGAAGAGCGTGGATGAGCTCCCTCTGTCAGCTCCAGCTTCCCGTGTGGGGACATGAGAGAAGCCTCCCACGAGGATGGTAAAACATCAAAAACATCTGGGCGTCCCCTGGGCAACATCCTTGTAGACGGCCCATTCTCTCACACCAGAAGCGACTTGCAGTTTCTCAAGTCACTCCTGACATGAAAAAAAAACCCCTCATAATTTAATAGCGATTTGAATGGATCTGCTTTAGCTGGGATTAATAAATAGGATTGAATCCTGAGCCCTCTGTTCTTGGTGGCTTATAGACAAGACTCAAGAGATAGAGAACTGGCGAAAGTAGCCTTTCTGAATGGCAACTCCCAGAATCCTCTGAGGTTAACTGCATTATACAAGTCTAATCATAAAATGCAGCTTGAAACTGCATTATATGGCAGTGTAGACAAGGCCAGATAGAACTGTATTGGCAGAAGGACAGGAGTGTGATGGGACTGCTTGGTTTTGTGATTCAGGCCCGACTTTCTTTGGGGGTGCTGTACCCCTTTGTTCTTGCCACTTAGGCCAGTATTGTGGCTCTGCTATAGGATACCCTCAGGACTCCAGTCAACGTCCCCATCTTGTCCCTTACTTCCCGTGCCTCATCACTTGTCTTTGTTTCCCCTTTTTAAAGGTTTATCTTCCCTACAACCAGACTGGGCGCTGAAAGCCAGTTCAGCGACTTCTTGGACGGCCTTGGACCAGCACAAATTGTGGGGCGGCAGACACTAGCCACCCCTCCCATGGGTGAGTCAAGTTATTATTATTTATTTATTTACCACATTTATTTACTGCTTTTCTCAGCCAGAAGCGACTCAAGGCAGTTCACATTTGGCAGTAATTCGATGCCATAACAAATATCAAAAACAATTCAGCATTTGAAATGTAATATAAAAAGCAAATATATCTGTTAAAACAAGATCCTCGATGTCTCCTTACTAAAATCATTGTCCAGTTGCATCATCAGTCATTCCATATATTGGTTAACGTCTAATTATGCTCCAGTAGAAAAAAACTTGCTCGAAGAGCTAGGTCTTAACCATTTTGCAGTATGTTAGAAGGGAGGGAGCCAATCTTATATCCTTGGGAAGGGCGTTCCATGGCCGAGGGGCCACCACTGAGAAGACCCTGTCTCTCATCCCCACCAAACGCATCTGCAAGGAAGGCGGGATCAAGAGCAGGGCCTCCCCGGACGATCTTAAAGTCCTAGATAGTTCATAAGGAGAGATATGTTCGGATAGGTAAGCTGGACCGGAACCGTTTAGGGCAGGGGTCCTCAAACTATGGCCCGGGGGCCGAATACAGCTCTCCAAGGTCATTTACCCAGCCCTCGTTCAGGGTGAACCTAAGTCTGAAACGACTTGAAAGCACACAACAACAACAACAACAACAATCCTATCTCATCAGCCAAAAGCAGGCCCACACTTCCCAATGAAATACTAATAAGTTTATATTTGTTAAAATTGTTCTTCACTTTAATTACTGTATTCTTCTAAAGTGTTTTTTTGCACTACAAATATGATACATGCAGTGTGCATAGGAATTCATTCATATTTTTTTTCAAATTATAATCCAACCCTACAACAGTTTGATGGACTATGACCTGGCCCTCTGTTTAAAAAGTTTGTGGACCCCTGGTTTAGGGCTTTATAGGCCAAAGCTAGCACTTTGAATTGTGCCCGGTAGCAGATTGGCAGCCAGTGGAGCTGGCACAACAGAGGAGTCATGTGTTCTCTGAGCGCCGCTCCCGTTAGCAACCTGGCTGCCGCTCGTTGGACCATTTTGAGCTTCCAGACAGTTTTCAAAGGCAACACCACATAGAGAGCATTGCAGTAGTCTATACGGGATGTAACCAGAGCGTGGACTACCATGGTCAAGTGGTGGGAAATCTGCCATCACTGGATATGGGCCGGCATGGGGCTCCCTGCACGTCCTGGGGAGATCGCGCACCTCAATGCAACTCCAAACAAAAAATAAGTAAACAAGAGGGTCTCCAAATGCTTCCAACATCCTCTGAGTAGGCATTTTAGGAGTCATTTGATGTCCAGGTGAGACTTAGGGCCCCTCCACACAGGCCTATATCTCAGAAATCCCACATTATCTGAGTGTGGACTCTGATAACCCAGTCCAAAGCAGATATTGTGGGATATAGGGCTGTGTGGAAGGGCCTTTATTGTCAAAACAAAAATCACTGGCCATAAAAAGCTCTCCTGCTGTTCCAAAATGGCCAGGAGTGGGGAGCAGATGTGAAGAATGGGATTCTTGCTGTTTGTAATGTTCGAAGGGTTTAACACAATTTTTGTTCCTGGGTTATAAATGTCATTTCCTAATTGGTTGTATCATAAAAACATCGGAACCCCTGGTGGTGCAATGGGTTAAACCCTTGTGCCGTCAGGACTGCTGACTGATAGGTCAACAGTTTGAATCCAGGGAGAGTATCTATCCGAACGTATCTCCCTCTACGTCCTACCCCGGAATTTGAGATCATCTGGGGGGGGGCCCTGGTCTCGACCCCACCGCTATCACAAGTGAGGTTGGTGGGGACGAGGAGCAGTGCCTTCTCAGTGGTGGCCCCTCACCTGTGGAACTCACCCGGGGGAAATTAGGGCATCAACATCCCTCCTCACCTTCAGGAGGAAGGTAAAGACGTGGTTGTGGGACCAGGCCTTTGGGCAATCTGACAACTAGATAAGGACAACCAGACGGATAGGACTGACAGGACTGACAATTGTGGAATTGGAATTTGAACTATGAGATAGCGAATGCTGACCGTCAATGAGGAGAAAGTGGTTTGTATTGGTTTTATTGGTTTTATTGGTTTTATGGTTGTAATGCAAGAATTGTTGTTTGCTGTTAATTGATGTTATTTTGTCTTATTGCTGTTATGTGATGCGGGCATCGAATTGTGCCTTGCTTTTGTAAGCCGCCCTGAGTCCCCTTCGGGGTGAGAAGGGCGGGGTAGAAGTAACCGAAATAAATAAATAAATAAATAAGAGCGGGTTGAGCTCCGTCTGTCAGCTCCAGCTCCCCATGCAGGGACATGAGAGAAGCCTCCCACAGGATGGTAAAACATTAAACATTTGGGTGCCCCTTGGGCAACGTCCTTGCAGACGGCCAATTCTTTCACACCGGAAGCGACTTGCAATTTCTCAAGTTGCTCCTGACATGCAAAAAAAAAATCATAAAAACATGGGGAAAGTTTATGAAACTGCAAAAACTTTGTTTTTGTGGGACACCCTGCAGCACATTTTGCTCTAGTTTTTCAATGAATATCTCATTGAGTCTTAACCAATTCAACCTAGTTTGTGGCCGCCACAAAAACAAACTTTCAGGAGTAGAACAACTACTTTCAAAGTAAGGAGTGCACAATTAACAAGAAATAATACTTTCAAACCAGGAACAGATTCTTTTCACATTTTGTTACATAATGTCACTATTCTACTACTACTACTACTATTATTATTATTATTATTATTATTATTATTATTATTATTATTATTATTATTATTATTATTATTATTATGTCAAATGTGTTGATCTGCCTGTGCTTTTTCTTGTATCATTATTTGTTTAAGCCTAAAAGCCAGTCCTCCTGCCCTCTGCTGGCTGGCTGTGGAATAATAACTTTTTGTTATTAACTCTCAACTTGAACTTATGGCTCCCTGACTGTGAATGAGAGATCTCCCCCTATCGTCCAGGACTTGCAAACCCCTTGATTGAATCTATTGATCTGGAATGGGGTCTTCCACTTTTCCTTTTGCCTTCTACCTTACCAAAAATTATTATCCTTTTCCTCTGAGTCGCATCTGTCCCACTGTATGATGTTCAAGGTAAAAGGCTTCAGGAGCAATTTATCATTGCCTTCTTCTGCACAGTACTAACAGGAGCTGAGAGCCAATATCATGTAGTAACTTTATCCAGTTCCATGAATAAGTAACCTTTGCCACTAAAAATTGAATGCCTGGAACTCCCTCCCTTCTTTCCTCCCTCCTTCCTTCCCTTCAATGTAATTTGACATTGTTATAAGTATCTCTCTGTACTTTGTGTATTCTGTTGCACTATTGTGCGCTTTTGTAAGCCGCCCCAAGTCCCTTTTAGGAGATGGTGGTGGGATATAAAGTTATTTGTTATTGTTATTGTTATTATTCCTTCCTTCTTCTCCTCCTTCCTTCCTTCCTTCCTTCCTTCCTTCCTTCCTTCCTTCTCTTCCCTTCCATTCCTTCCATCCTTTCCTTCTTCCTTCCTTCCACCCTTCCTTTCCATCTTCCTTCCATCCTTTCTTTACATCTTTCTTCCTTCCATTCCTTCATTTATTCTTCCTTCCTTCCATTCTTCCTTTCCATCTTCCTTCCATTCTTCCTTCCTTCCATTCCTTCATTCGTTGCTTCTTCCTTCCTTCCTTCCATTCTTTCTTTCATTCCTTCTTCCTCCCTTCCATTCTTCCTTTACATCTTCCTTTGGTTCTTCCTTCCATTCCTTCATTCATTCCTTCTTCCTTCCTTCCCTCCATCCTTCCTTTCCATTTTTCCTTCCATTCTTCCTTCCATTCCTTCATTCATTGCCTCTTCCTTCCATTCCTTCTTTCATTCCTTCTTCCTTCCATCCTTCCTTTCCATCTTCCTTCCTTCCTTCTTTCCTTCCATTCCTTCATTCATTCCTTCTTCCTTCCCTCCATCCTTCCTTTCCATTTTCCTTCCATTCTTCCTTCCTTCCATTCCTTCATTCATTGCCTCTTCCTTCCATTCCTTCTTTCATTCCTTCCTTTTTCCATCCTTCCTTTCCATCTTCCTTCCTTCTTTCCTTCCATTCCTTCATTCATTCCTTCATCCTGCCTTCCATCCTTTCTTTCCATCTTCCTTTCTTCCATTCCTCCTTTGTTCCTTCATCCTTCCTTCCTTCCTTCCTTCCTTCCTTCCTTCCTTCCTCTCCTTCCTTCCTTCTTCTTTCCTCTTCTCTTCCTGCCTTCCTCCTCTTCCTTCCTTCCTGCCCTTCCTTCATTCCATCCTCCCCCCCCCCCTTCCTTCCTTTTCCCAGTCTCCTTTCCTTTTGTGCCCTCACTTTTAGACACCGTCTTCTTACAAATCCATGTAAACCGCTTTGGAAACTTTTGTATAATTAGGAAGCAGGATTGTAAAAAGTGATGTGGATAACATATCACAAAAAGCACTCACACAGAAGCCAGGTTTCCTGCTTCACATTTTGTCATGCAAAACCACTCATTCAGAAACCTGTCCAGTTGTCTCTGTGACGCCTTGCCTCTGCTTCTTCAGGGGATGTCCACCTGAGGATGGTTGACAGGAACGGGCAGCTGGAGGTGGAGGTGATAGAAGCCCGGAGCCTCACTCCGAAGATGGGCTCCAAAACCATTCCCGGTGAGTAGCAAATACATCTAGTCTTTAGAGGAATCATAGAATCATAGAGTTAGAAGAGAGCTTGAGGGCCATCCAGTCCAACCCCCTGCCAAGAAGCAGGAATATTGCATTCAAAGCACCCCTGACAGATGGCCATCCAGCCTCTGTTCAAAACCCTCCACCACACTCCAGGGCAGAGAGAGAGTTTCACTGCTGAACAGCTCTCACAGTTAGGAAGTTCTTCCTCATGTTCAGGTGGAATCTCCTTTTTTTGTAGTTTGAAGCCATTGTTCTGTGTCCTTGGCAACTTTGGGAAAGTTGGGTTTTTCGATAATAGTTTCCAGAATACACTGGCTACCCAAAGTTCTCCTTCAATTTACTGCTTTGATTTACTCTCTGCACTTATGCTTCCTTTTATCATGAGGTGGGGAGAATTGTTCTCAGTTTTTCTCCATGTACTGTCACCCTTTGATATTTGAGGATCTGATTATTCCTCAATTTCCCTAGGAATCTCTGAAGCCCCATTTCCATTGCAGTTTCAGAATGCAGTTTAACTACATTGTTTGTATGAGTCTACACTATAATCTGGTGACGCAGTGGGTTAAACTGCTGCGAGTTAAACCACTGAGCTGCTCAACTTGCTGATTGAAAGGTTGGCGGTTCAAATCCAGGAAGTGGGGTGAGCTCCTGCTGTTAGCCCCAGCTTCTGCAAACCTAGAATAGAATCATAGAGTTGGAAGGGACCTCATGGGCTATCCAGTCCAACCCCCTGCCAAGAAGCAGGAAAATTGCGTTCAAAGCACCCCTGACAGATGGCCATCCAGCCTCTGTTTAAAAGCAGATAAAACAACAGTTACATAATAAGTAAACATTAAATTAGATTAAAATAATTTAAAATAGTACAAATAATCCGAGTTCTACAATCATCAACTTAATCCAAAGCCAGTCCGCAGTCCATTTTCCATAGCCATCCAGCCTCTGTTTAAAAGCTTCCAAAGAAGGAGCCTCCACCACACTCTGGGGCAGAGAGTTCCACTGCTGAATGGCTCTCACAGTCAGGAAGTTCTTCCTCATGTTCAGATGGAATCTCCTTTCTTGTTGTTTGAAGCCATTGTGCCGCGTACTAGTCTCCAGAGCAGCAGAAAACAAGTTCGCTCCCTCCTCCCTATGACTTCATCTCACATATTTATACATAGTTATCATGTCTCCTCTCAGCCTTCTCTTCTTCAGGCTAAACATGCCCAGCTCTTTAAGCCGCTCCTCATAGGGCTTGTTCTCCAGACCCTTGATCATTTTAGTCACCCTCCTCTGGACACAGCAGTTCAAAAACATGCAAACGTGAGGAGATCGATAGGTACTGCTTCGGTGGGGAGGTAACAGTGCTCCATGCAGTCATGCTGGCCACATTACCTTGGTGGTGTCTATGGACAACGCTGGTTCTTTGGCCTAGAAATGGAGATGAGCACCACCCCGCAGAGTCAGATACGACTAGACTTAATGTCAAGGGGAAACCTTTACTTTTATTTTTACTACACTACCATATCAAACAGCTCAATGGAGTTAAATTGCATTCTAAAACTGCATTATATTACAGTGTAGATGGGGCCTAGGTCCTCCGGTACAATGATCAGCTCCCTCTAGACTTTGGATTTTAGTTGGGAAGCCCATGCAGCTTCCTACACATGTTTTGTAGCCTTTATTATTGTTATTGTTATATCTATTGCATTTTATCCTTCTAAAAAGAGACCCAAAGTGGCTAACGCTCAAAACAAGCCATCATTTAAAACCTAGCATTAAAATAGGATGAAACACTAAGCCAAGCATTCACACCCCTCTCCTTTTGCCGACACAGCCACCTACGTCAAGGTGTACTTGCTAGAAAACGGGGTTTGCCTGGCTAAGAAGAAAACCAAGACGACCAAGAAGACCTGCGACCCGCTCTACCAGCAGGCCCTGCTCTTTGACGAAGGCCCCCAGGGCAAAATGCTGCAGGTGAATGCTTTTCTCCCCTTGGAAGGGTAAAAGGGTTCCTATGTGCCGCCCTTATGAAGTCTTGCTTTCTGAGTGTGGAGCCCACCTCTTTGAGGTGGGAAACCTCGAAGTGTTGAGATCGGATCTCAGTGGACCAGGAGAGCAGAGTAATTTGAGCAGCGTTTCTCAACCTTCCTAATGCCACGACCCCCTTAATACAGTTCCTCATGTTGTGGTGACCCCCACCCAAAACATTATTTTTGTTGGTCCTTCATAACTGATTTTGCTACTGTCGTGAATCGTCATGTAAATATCTGATATGCAGAATGTATTTTCATTCACTGGACCAAATTTGGCACAAATACCCAGTATGCCCAAATTTGAACACTGCTGGAATTTGGCATACTGGGGAATTGATTTTGTCATTTGGGAGTTGTAGTTCCTGGGAGTTATAGTTTACCTAGAGTCAAAGAGCATTCTGAACATCAACGATGGAATTGAACCAAACTTGGCACAAAGAATCATAGAATCATAGAATCAAAGAGTTGGTAGAGACCTCATGGGCCATCCAGTCCAACCCACTGCCAAGAAGCAGGAATATTGCATTCAAATCACCCCTGACAGATGGCCATCCAGCCTCTGTTTAAAAGCCTCCACCACACTCCGGGGCAGAGAGTTCCACTGCTGAACGGCTCTCACAGTCAGGAAGTTCTTCCTCATGTTCAGATGGAATCTCCTTCTCTTGTAGTTTGAAGCCATTGTTCTGCGTCCTAGTCTCCAGGGAAGCAGAAAACAAGCTTGCTCCCTCCTCCCTGTGGCTTCCTCTCACATATTTATACATGGCTATCATGTCTCCTCTCAGCCTTCTCTTCTTCAGGCTAAACATGCCCAGCTCCTTAAGCCGCTCCTCATAGGGCTTGTTCTCCAGACCCTTGATCATTTTAGTCGCCCTCCTCTGGACACATTCCAGCTTGTCAATATCTCTTGAATTGTGGTGCCCAGAATTGGACACAATTCTGCACAGAACTCCCATGACCAACAGAAAATACTGGAAGGGTTTGGTGGGCATTGACCTTGAGTTTTGGAATTGTAGTTCACCTACATCTAGAGAGCACTGTGATGTCAGAGGGGTCACCAAAGACCATTGGAAAATTTTCTGTTGGTCATAGGGGTCGTTTGTGGGAAGTTCGGCCCAGTTCTCTCATTGGTGGGGTTCAGAATGCTCTTTTATTATAGTGAACTATAAATCCCAGCAACTACTACTCCCAAATGTCAAGGTCTATTTCCCCCAAACTCCACCAGTGTTCACATTTGGGCATATTGAGTATTTGTGCCACGTTTGGTCCAGATCCATCATTGTTTGAGTCCACAATAATCTCTGGATGTAGGTGAACTACAACTCCAAAACTCAAGGTCAATGCCCATCAAACCCTTCCAGTATTTCTGTTGGTCATGGGAGTTCTGTGTGCCAAGTTTGGTTCCATTCCAGTGTTGGTGGAGTTTAGAATGCTCTTTGATTGTAGGTGAACTATAAATCCCAGCAACTACTACTCCCAAATGTCAAGATCTAGTTTCCCCAAACTCCACCAGTGTTCACATTTGGGCATATTGAAGATTCGTGCCAAGTTTGGTCCAGATCCATCATTGTTTGAGTCCACAATAATCTCTGGATGTAGGTGAACTACAACGCCCAATCTCAAGGTCAATGCCCATCAAACCCTTCCAGTATTTTCTGTTGCTCATGGGAGTTCTGTGTGCCAAGTTTGGTTCCGTTCCAGTCGTTGATGGAGTTTAGAATGCTCTTTGATTGTAGGTGAACTATAAATCCCAGCAAGTACAACTCCCAAAAGACAAAATCAATCCCCCACAACCCCATCTGTATTCAAATTTGGGCGTATTGGGTATTTGTGCCAAATCAGCTCTAGTGAATGAAAATACATTCTGCATACCAGATATTTACATCACGATTCATAACAGTAAGAAAATTACAGTTACGAAGTAGCAACGAAAATAAATTTATGGTTGGGGGTCACCACAACATGAGGAACTGTATTAAGGGGTTAGAAAGACTGAGAACCAAGGATCTAGAAACTAGAATTCCATTGGCCCTTCTATCTCCTGCATGACACTGTTGACTCCTGTTCAGCTTGTGGTCTACTACTAAGACTCGTAGATCCCTTTCATGTGGACTGTTTTCAAGTCAGGGGTCCCATTCTGTTTCTGTGCATTTCCTTGAAGTCCCACCATCCCTTCTTCTCCCACTTGCTTCTCCCATCCAGGTGATTGTCTGGGGCGACTACGGGCGCATGGACCACAAGTGCTTCATGGGGATGGCCCAGATCGTGCTTGAGGAGCTGGACCTCTCCACGGTGGTGATGGGTTGGTACAAGCTCTTCCCCACCTCCTCTTTGGCAGACTCCACCATCGGGCCCCTGACCCGCCGCCTCTCCCAGTCCTCGCTGGAGAGCTCAATAAGCCCCTCGTGTCCTTAAGGAAGACCAGGAGGAGAGGAGACGCCCAGAAGAGCCGCCTGCTCCACCGCCGCTTTTGGTAGCATGGTTTGTAAATACTCCATGTCTTTCCCTCCCACCGTCTTTCCCTCCTCTTTCTCCTTCTTCTCCACCTTCTCCGAGGAGAGAAAATGGCACCCGATGACGACAACTTTAGACGTCCCTCACTCCACAGAAGCTCCTGAAGATAGTGGAGGGAGGCATTTCGAAAGGGGAAGGAAAAAGGAACGTGAGGCAAAAAAGGAAGCGTGATACAACTGACCGACTCCGAGTTTCTGAGACTGTTACATCACCTTGAAACATATTGCCTTTGAAAAAGGAGTCACTTGTTTCTCATCTATCAAACATAACCTCTTCTCCGATGGGACTCAGTTAATCTCGCTGCAAGTAGCATGTTCACTGAATAGGTTTCTTTCTTGCTCAGTATTGTTTCGTTTCCATATCTCTGATGGAGAAGGTCGAACTTTCCTCCTGGTTTGTTTTTTCCTCGGAAGAAAGGAAGGAAGGAAGGAAGATTCCGTACTATTAACCATTTTTAAAGGGAAATGTAGCATCTTCGGGCATTATGTAGCTTGCCACATATTCACTGATCTTTCTGCGATATTTGGGTCAACTTCTTCCTCCCAAAAAGGAAGCACAAATGAGATACTTCCTTTTACAATTTTTTAAAGTGCGTGCAAGCGCTTTAGGGAGGAAGGGGAAGGGGAAGCGCTGCTACCGAAGCCGTAGCGAGGTGGAAACGATCAACGGTGCATTCGACATGACTGTTACATTTAAAGCACATTGAGGTTCGCATTTTGCTTTCTCGCCCTTTGAGCACTTTTAATTTCTTCTCCTTTCTCCGACGGAGGCGTTAGACCATTGTGTCTCTTACGGTCTTTGGGAGCAATTGCTCGAGTCTCATGGAGTCGGCATAAGAATGGGGCAGGGGTCCAGTTTGGGGCTTCTTTGGGTTTTGTGCAAGAAGAGACAATCCAACTGGATTGTGTCCTGTGCGTAGCCAGCGCTCTACGTTTGTGGCTTGGCTCTTTCTACAGGCAAAACGGCTAGAGCACTAGCATTCAAACAGATGTTGGAAAGTACAAGCAGAAACACAGGGGTTGTTGAATGCACTTCTGCTAGTCCCCAAGGGAGAGCCATAGGGCAGCATAATACCGTTTATACTCATGTATAAGTCAACCTAATGTATACGTCGAGGAGAAGTTTGGGGAGCAAAATGATGGATTTTGATGCGATCCATGGATAAGTTGAGGGTCATTCTGTGGAAAGGGGAAAACACCATTGCCATCACAGAAGGCCAGATCTGGGAAAAGGTTGAGGGTAAAAGGGCTGGTGCTTCTTTTTGGTTATCTCAGGATGGGCTAAGCTCTTGGCATTCGCCACTTTGCTCAGAGAAGGTGATGATTCCTTTTTTGAAAAGAATTAAGTTATAAGGCTCATGCTGACCCAGGGTTGATTTGTTGACTCAACATTTCTAGACTTATACATCAACATATACAGTAGTGTCCCATGGCTTTCTTGCAAGGAGGGAGAAGTGTGCAAACTGCTTGATTTACTAAAGGTTTTGAATTTGACACCATTTGGCTACATGCAGGCATCACGTTGCGTGTCGTACTGACCCGCCAAACACCCAGGAGGGTTGACTTTTCTCTCAATCTGTATTGGATCGGGGTTGTGAGTGTTGTATTCGTATGTTTTTCAGTAGCAATCTTGCTCTCCCAAAGGAGGGCCAGTTCCTGTAGCAAAACTGAGAATTAAAGAAGCTTTTTAATGAAGGTGCCTACAGAAAAAAATGATGAAAATACTCAGGGGAGATATTATTGGAAATCCTTATTATACCACTGTCGTCATTGTCGAAGTCTCACATTGACTGTATTGTAAGAGCTGTAGGATCGCAAGACCACTGGTGGTCAGGGCAGGAGTGGAGCCAGGGTTTTTTCTGCACAACCCGCTTAGCTTGGATGTCCCACTTTTTTGTCCAGCGGTGCTCAAACTGAGATTGTTCCCATTGCATAAGCATACATATCACATCAATGAAGCCAGTGAACTAAACTAGCATAGGATAATCCTGTTGTCTCTGTCAAAATGAAGCAATGGAACATTCTCAAGAAGAAGAACCAATTGATTTGGAGAGAAACCAAAACCAGGATTGATGCTTTTCCTCCATTGTAATGGAACTGGAAATGAAAGGAAGTATTATTATAGTATTGTCGAAGGCTTTCATGGCTGGAATCACTAGGTTCTTGTGGGTTTTTTCGGGCTATATGGCCATGTTCTAGAGACATTTTTCTCCTGACGTTTCGCCTGCATCTATGGCAAGCATCCTCAGAGGTAGTGAGTGATGATGGGAGAGGAGCCTGCCTGTGCCTTTAAGATACACAAGCAACTGTGCAGAAGGGAACACCATTTGGACATCTTGAAGCTGTTCACCTTTTGTTTTGGACTTGTTATTTCTGTTTCTACAGTATTCAGTTATTGGATTTATGGTTCCATCAGATCAGACCATCTACTGTCCTCCAAATCTTACAGTTCTCAATTTCTCGCTTTCGTCCTGCTGTGTCCTTGGTCTCCGGCATCTGAAATGGTTTTCATTTTCCTGCAGAATAAGCAATATGTTGGTTTCCAAATTTCCACCCAAGGCAAAAATCTTCTCCAGTTAGTCTTCAGCTGCAACCCAGACAGATGTACAAACCACAGATGTGCATTGCTGTGTGAGTCTGGTCACTTCCCATGTTGACTGTTTCCCCACATCTGGCTTCTGCATCTTCACATCTGAGCATGAATGAGTCCAAGATGCCATGCCCTGATCTCAAAACGGAACTAGAATTCAAGTGGGAACAAGAGGTATCTGATGTCAAACAGTCCATGGTCAACAGACCAGAGCCCAGAATCCAAATCTACCAACTTCCTTGTGGCAAATAATAGAACATCAATGTTCTCCTGGGCACTTCAATGGCTGTGCTGAGACTGCCTCCTGAAGACATTGTGTAGGGAAGAACTGCTTTGGGATTAAAGCAAGAAAGAACAAGGAGGTCTTGAGGGCCATTGTGAGGGAAACAATTTGGTGAGTCAAAACCAGAAGTCACTGCTTTGGGATTAAAGCAAGAAAGAACAAGGAGGTCTTGAGGGTCATTGTGAGGGAAACAATTTGGTGATTCAAAACCAGAAGTCACTGCTTTGGGATTAAAGCAAGAAAGAACAAGGAGGTCTTGAGGGCCATTATGAGGGAAACAATTTGGTGAGTCAAAAACCGGAAGTCACTTCCGTCAGAGTGAAATAAATCAGATGAAAATGCATGAAAAAGTAGATGCCAGAAGTCATAAGAGTCGCAACGGAGACATCAATGATGTCTTCTTCCAGCAACACCTGTATTTTTCCACACAGGTTGTCATATTAGATTTTTTTTGTAATATTCTCAAAGAATGACAGTGAGAAAACACCTCCTCTGAACCCCATCTCACCTCACTTCTTTCTTCTGGATAATGACTGCAAGGCTGAAAAGGAAGTGGACACCATCAGGACTGAGATCTGTGAGTGTCCTTCACTGACAGTTGCATCCGAATAATGAAACTATAGCATTGGAGAATCCAAAATGGTTCTTAAACCAGGTCCCTGAATGGACCAATAGACATTCTGTGGTCACAGCCTTTGGCATTGTCTTGAAACAATCATTGCACCACTATCCCACCAATTAATTCCACATGAACATGTTACACCAAAACCTAGGGATGTCTATTTGGAGTGAGGTTCAAGAAGGTTGTGGAGATAAGGCCTGTCTGGAGCATGAAGCTGGTCCACCCATTTACTCAACACTTGGAACAAAATGTGGCTTGTTACAAAAGCTTGACAAAAGCCTTCTTTGCTTCCCTTGCCACCTTGAACCCATCCTTTTTTTTGTGAGAGAGATTGAAGTTACATTTTATCAATTCATGAAATAGATTGAAAGCTGCTCTTCAACTGAAATGTATTGGCCAGCACCCAAAGGAAGAAAACCAATTTTCCACACCACTCATAGTTTAGCCAGAAAGTCCCTCTCTGCCCAAAGCAGCTTGAAATATGACATTCCAGAAATGGAGTGAGGCTGGAACAGAAAGCAACAGATCTCCAGAAGTCCTTGAGAGTACTGGGAGTAACTCTTTGGATCCCTATGTGTCTAAACTGTGCCCTCGTTCCATCATTTCTATGCATGACATCCAATGTTTCCTTGTTTGAGAAGTAAAAAAGATGTCTCTGTGGAACTGTTTTTCTAAAGTTTCCAAAAAGCAGGAAGGGGATGTCCTCCCAAGATCAAACTTGGACTCTCTCTTCTCACTAACTTTGTGGGATGGTTCCATTGGAAAGCCCTCTTGAGCCAACTGCACTGGGCCCTTTTATGTTGAAACTCTTAAACCTAAGAAGACTTATCAAGGAAGAAGAGGCATTGCTTAAGGCGTTCTTTAAGATAAGAAACCTTGACATTCAATTGTAGATTTAAATCAAAGTTGGGATGGAAAGCTCCCACGTTCAGTCGAAGCTTGGATGGAGTAGGTGCAATTATGCGTGAGCTATCTATCATCTAATAACACTATGTAACAACATTTGAAAAAAAAATCAGTTCCAGGTTTGAAAGTGTTATTTCCTGATTGACTGTGAGGTAATTACTTTGAAAGTGGTTGTTATGTTCCAGAAACTTCATTTTTGTGGCTGAGGGTAGTACTATTATTTCCTTCAGACTAGGCACTTCATTTATAATTTAGTGAAACTATGCCATTTTAAATTTTTTCAATGTGCAGACCGCCACAATGTTTTTTTGCAGTTTAATAAACCTTTTCCATTTTTTATGATAGAACCAATTAGGAAATGACATGTACAACCCAGAAACAAAAATCATGTTACATAGTGTAATCTATTTTTGTAATCTATCTTCCTTCCTTCCCTCCCTCTCTCCTCGTCCTTCCTCCTTCCTTCCTTCCTTCCTTCCTTCCTTCCTTCCTTCCTTCCTTCCTTCCTTCCTTCCTTCCTCTCTCCCTCCCTCTTCCTCCTTCCTTCCTTCCTTCCTTTCCTTTCCCTTCCCCTTCCTTCCTTCCTCTTCTTCCTTCTCCTTTCCTTCCTCTCTCCCTCTTCCTCCTTCCTTTCCTCTTCTTCCCCTCTCCTTCCTTCCCCTTCCTTCCTTCTCATTCTCCTTCCTTCCCTTCTTTCTTCTTCCTTCCTTCCTCTCTTCCCTTCTCCCCTCCTTCCTTCCTCCTTCCTTCCCCTCCTCTTCTTCCTTCCCTTTCCCTTCCCTTCCCTCTTTTCCTTCCTTCCTTCCTTCTTCCTTCCTTCCTTCCTTCCTTCCTTCTTCTTCCTTCTTCCTCCCTTCTCTTTCTTCATTCCTTCCTCCTTCTTCTTCTTCTTCTTCCTTCCTTCCCTCCCTCCCTCCTTTCCTTCTCCTTCCTTCCTCTTTCCTTCCTTCCTTCCTTTCCTCCCTCCCTCTCCCTCCCTCCCTCCTTCCCTCCTTCCCTCCTTCCTTCCTTCCTCCCTTCCTTCCTTCCTTCCTTCTTTCCTTCCTCACACATAATTGCATCCTAATGCATCCATACATGGACTCAAGACTTAAAGATCAACTTATTTGAAACAACAACATTGGATTCTAGGGGACACGTGGCATATTCTAATGGCAATGATACCATGGGAAGAAAAAGTGATATGATCTAAGGCCAGGTGGAAGAGTGAAGCGGCTGCTTCTGGCGGGAAATGTTGGGAGGTCTGCTGATGTTCTCCTCTGCTGTGTGGATCTCCAAATTCCCACCATGCCTCTAGTATACTGGCAGAATATTCTTGCCCAATGTGGAGAATGGTCTCTGTGCCAAGCCATGGATGGATAGCACCACAAGAGAGCCTCAAACAAGAAGGACCTGCTCCGCGTCCCTCGGCTTTACATTCCCAGTCGACGGCATTCTGCACAAACCTTCATCAAGAGACTTCTAAGGTCAGGCAAGGCTTGAATGGAGAGAGTCCAGCTTAGAAATGGGGAATTTGCTTTTAATTTGCAGTGCCCAAGCTGTGTTAAATGCATTAGGCATGGGAATAAAAAAGTTATGATTAATGTCCGGCAGCAGTGGGTGGCGAGGGTTGGTCAGTTGGCTCCTCTTTTGGCCTCAGTATTTCTTCTGGAACCAAAAAGCAGAAATGGCAAATAGTAACTTTCCTGGCCCTGTGCAAGGCTAGTCACTGTTGGTTGTGTACCTCACAGCTTTCTTACTACGATGTTCTGACTTCTTGTATGTGTTTCTTTTTGTCTGTTGAAGGTAATCAGAGGAAGTGGAAATAGTGGTATGTATAAGGTTTTGTCTGCACATCCCTTCTCCTCCTTGCCTTAAACCTCACTGGGTCAGGATTCAGTCTTGGAGGGCAAGCTTAGCACATACCTCCCACACCCCCAACTACCCCCATTTGGCAGGGACAATCCCAATTAATCCCATCATCCCAGTTTCTCTCTCCTCTTCCCACCTTTTCCGTTTGTCCTCAATTTACTTCGATGGCCACAAACTGAGTCCAAAGGGCGAAACTCCATTTAGATGAAGAGCATAATCTCGCCTTTCCCAGTTGTTTCAGGCAAAAGCAAACTGCTGCAGTCTCTCTCTGCTGATGTGTTCTTCATCCTACATGACTTTTGCCATTTTGTCCCACTCTCTGCTACTCCTTGGCCATCCATGTCCCAGATTTCCTCTGCAGTGTGTTGAAGGGCATGGTTTCATTTCATGTATTTATTTACGGTATTCAATTTGATCCCACCTTCAACATATAGTAAAGATAATGAGTGGCACTGAGAGAAATGCTTATCCCGAAGACCTTCGAGTTTGGGGTAAGATATAGTTCTCCAAATATGTCAAACATGAGCTGTGTAGGACTTCCTATACCCAAAAATGTGAATTCTGAGGATAAAATCGGGGTGATAATAGGACACCACTAGCTTGAGTTTGACTGGACATCTTCATATTGTGGCCTTTCCACACTACAATTACAGAGCTACAAGTCCACTTTAGTTGCCATGTTTCCAAAATACAGAATCCAAGAATTCAAAGTTTAGCAAGAAGTACCTAGAAAGCTCTAGTGCGTCCCATGCTTTCTGAAGGATGCATCTATGGCAGTGTTGCACCTCAGCTCACAGCACTTACCAAGAAACCAAATACAGTAACAGTTTATTGATAAAAGCACATATAAAAAGGGAAAAGGCACTATAACAGTGGTTCTCAACCTTCCTAATGCCGCGACCCCTTAATACAGTTCCCCATGTTGTGGTGACCCCCAACCATAAAATTATTTTTGTTGCTACTTCATAACTAATTTTGTGACTTATGAATCATAATGTAAATATCTGATATGAAGGATATGTTTTCATTCCCTGGACAAAATTTGGCACCAATACCTGATACATCCAGATTTGAATCGTGGTGGGGTTGAAGGGATTGATTTTGTCATTTGGGAATTGTAGATGCTGGGGTTTGTAGTTAACCTACAATCAAAGAGCATTCTGAATTTCACCAACAATGGAATTGGACCAAACAGGAAATACTGGAAGGGTTTGGTGGACATTGACCTTGAGTTTTGGAGTAGTAGTTTACCTACAAACTCCAAACACCTACAGTTTGGGAAAAATAGACCTTGACATTTGGGAGTTGTAGTTCACCTACATCCAGAGAGCCCTGTGCACTCAAGCAATTATGGATCTGGACCAAACTTGGCACAAATACTCAATATACCTAAATGTGAACGCTGTTTTGTTGTTGTTTTTTTGTTGTGTCAGGAGTGACTCCTGGTGTGAGAGAATTGGCTGTCTGCAAGGACATTGCCCAGGGGACGCCTGGATGATTTGATTTTTTTTATCATCTTGTGGGAGGCTTCTCTCATGTCCCCGCATGAGGAGCTGGAGCTGATAGAGGGAGCTCATCCGCCTCTCCCCAGATTCAAACCTGCGACCTGTCGGTCTTCAGTCCTGGTGGCACAGGGGTTTAACCCACTGTGCCACCGGGGGCTCCTCTGAACACTGGTTGAGTTTGGGGAAAAGAGGCCTTTACATTTGGGAGTTGTAGTTGCTGAGATTTTTTGTTCTCCTGTAATCAAAGAGCATTCTGAACTCCACCAACGATAGAATTGGGCCAAACTTCCCACACTGAACCCCCATGACCAACAGAAAACATTTGGTGACCCCTCTGACACCCCCTCATGA